TATATATATATATATATATATATATATATATATATATATATAAACTATATATATATATATATATATATATGTGTATATATATATATCTGACTATCGTAGATTCAATGCTCACGGCGTTCAAGAAATTACTCACTATTGGTCGACAAACTGTATCTTGATTTCAGAATCTGTATCAAAAGCTATGAAACCGCGCATACATAAACACAAACACACACCCCCTACCACACATCTGTACGTACACAGCTTCCGAACACACACCCCCTACAATAAATGTTCAGTACGCAACCCCACCTGAGACTCCTGAGGCGATGTCGCCATCGTCCCCGTCGGTGTCAGCCTCGGCGTATTGCACTGGCCCTTGACCGCGTGACGAATAGTGCACCCTCGGGGCCATGCGCGCGTCATCGTCCGACGACGCGGCTTTGGCTTTCTGTGGGGGGTGTATGTAGGTAGATATCAGGAGAGGTTGTAGTACAGTACACACATGCATTGGTTAGTATATGTGTAGGTAAATACCAGAAGACGTTATAGGACAGTACACGCATGCATTGGTTAGGACAGTACACACATGCATTGGTTAGGACAGTACCCACATGCATTGGTTAGTATATGTGTAGGTAAATATCAGGAGATGTTGTAGTACAGTACACACATGCATTGGCTAGTATATGACATGCATTGGTTAGTATATGTGTAGGTAAATATCAGGAGAGGTTAAAGTACAGTACACACATGCATTGGCTAGTATATACGCGTGTAGTTCTGTACGCACGCATGCGTATCACCGAGTGTGCGTGAATATAGCTCTGCCATATTGGAGACGCATTGCAGATTGTCGAGTGAGTGTGTGAGAGGATTCCTATAGAGCAAGGGCTGGTACACTCAGATACAAGAACATAATCACCCGTTCATATGCTAAGCAACAACAAGACACTCTCAGCATAACATAGAACCTGCTTATGATATATGCCTCATATGCTAAGCAAAAACAAGACACTCTCAGCATAACATAGTATCTGCTATTGATATATGCCTCATATGCTAAGCATAAACAATCACTCTCAGCATAACATAGTATTTGCTATTGATATATGCCTCATATGTTAATCATGAACAGTCACTCTCAGCGTACCATAGTATCTGCTATTGATACATGCATTATATGCTAAGAATAAACAGTCACTCTCAGCATACCATAGTATCTGCTATTGATATCTGCAGATCTTCCCCCGATAATGCGATATCTTGAGAATAAATAGGGTGTTTGCGCAGGCTACTGCCACCTGAACCGTAATGCTTACACGTACACGTCGACTTCCTCAACATAGACCCCCCACACACACGTTAACTGCAGCAAGGGCTGGTAACCACTGTGCGCTATAACTACACCACGTGAATCCGTTCACCCGTCAAACGATACATGTGCAGCATAGTTATATCCAGCGTAATCGACACACACAGACACTTAGCAGGCATGTCGCAAGCCACCACATCCGCTCGGTGCACATACCGTTCGCCTTGTCCGTAGCACTTTTTTGGCCCTCTTGCTGCCACCTGCAAAAGAGTCCCATTTTCAGGACAAATAATAAGTATCTGAGGCTATTCTTTGGATCTATTTCAAGTGACAATTCTAACTTGACACCAATTGAACCAAAAAAAGAGTCCCAGTTTTAGGACAAATAATAAGAATCTGAGGCTATACTTTGTAACAATTTCAAGTGACAATTACAAATTGACATCAATAAAACCAAAGAAGAGTCCCATTTTTAGGACAAATAATAAGAATCTGAGGCTATACTTTGGAATTATTTCAAGTGACAACTACAAATTGACATCAATGTCCCATTTTTAGGACAAATAATATGAATCTGAGACTGGACAAAAGGGACCGCAGTAAGACTTGAGTAAGAGGTGTAGCTTATTCTCTGCCCATTCTCTGCCCATTTCAGCACCCCACACCCACACCCACACTACTACCCCTACCATCCCACACTCCCACACACACACATACCTCCGCCGTCCCAGTCACTGTCGCTCTCCTGTATACTGCCATCGCTACCGTCGCTCTGGTACACACTGTAGCCTTTGGTCTTGGCTCCGCGGGGCTTGGTGACTGAGGTGTCCTTCTTAGTCACACGCTTCCTCGGTTTGTTAGCTGGTGCACGTTTGCGCTTGCGCTGAGTTGTGGCGTCACTGCTCTCGCTTTCGGACTCACTGCTCGATGAAAAGGCGTGGATGTAACGGTCTGGCACCTGCACACAGAGTTGTACGTAAGGTGTATGTGAGTAGACAGAGTTGTACGTAAGGTGTATGTGAGTTGACAGAGTTGTACGTAAGGTGTAAGTAAGTAGACAGAGTTGTACGAAAGGTGTATGTGAGTAGACAGAGTTGTACGTACGGTGTATGTGGGTAGACAGAGTTGTACGTAAGGTGTATGTGAGTAGGCAGAGTTGTACGTAAGGTGCATGTGAGTAGACAGAGTTGCACGCAAGGTGTATGTGAGTAGACTGCATACAGAAAGGAATTGCAGTCGATATCGCGAGTTGCAGTTCATATCCTTACACAAGTGTCGTTTGACTGTTTTTTATGTGAAACACTTTGTTGACACTGAGTATGTCGTCGTTATCAGCAACCAAACTACCTCACAACTCACAACAGATATGTTAATAATTGCCACTGCTACAGTGCGTTGTAACACTGAGTTGCAGTTGAGTGATTTGTAATATTATTTACATGCGCTCACTCAATCACATTATCCAATATGATATATAAAGCTATTTCCCATAAATGTATATATATAATATATATATCCGTGTGTGTGTGTGTGTATGTGTGTACATATATAAACAAACACAAACACAAACACAA